ATGTGTCACCAGCAGCCGTCCATCTTGTTGTTACGTGTGGTGTCCATGTGTCAATGTCTATCTTGTTGTTACGTGAGGTGTCCATGTGACACTGTCTATCTTGTTGTTACGTGTGGTATCCATGTGTCACTTGTCTTTCTTGTTGTTACGTGAGGTGTCCATGTGTCGACCGTCTATCGTGTTGTTACGTGAGGTGGCCATGTGTCACTGTCTATCTTGTTGTTACGTGAGGTGTCAAAGTGTCGACTGTCCATCTTGTTGTAAGTTGAGGTGTCCATGTGTCACCAGCAGCCGTCAATCTTGTTGTTTCGTGTGGTGTCCATGTGCCATTGCCTATCTTGTTGTAACGTGTGGTGTCTTTGTGTCACCCGTCAATCTTGTTGATACGTATGGTGTCCATGTGTCGACCGTCTATCGTGTTGTTACGTGTGGTGTCCATGTGTCGACCGTCTAACTTGTTTTGACGTGTGGTGTCCATGTGTCATTGTCTATCGTGTTGTTACGTGTTGTGTCCATGTGTCACTGTCTATCTTGTTTTTACGTGAGGTGTCAAAGTGTCGACTGTCTATCTTGTTGTTAGTTGAGGTGTCCATGTGTCCCCCCCACCCGTCCATCTTGTTGTTACGTGTGGTGTCCATGTGTCAATGTCTATCTTGTTGTTACGTGAGGTGTCCATGTGTCACTGTCTATCTTGTTGTTACGTGTGGTATCCATGTGTCACTTGTCTATCTTGTTGTTACGTGAGGTGTCCATGTGTCACTGTCTATCTTGTTGTTACGTGAGGTGTCCATGTGTCGACCGTCTATCGTGTTGTTACGTGTGGTGTCCATGTGTCGACCGTCTATCTTGTTGTTATGTGAGGTGTCCATGTGTCACCCGTCTATGTTGTTGTTACGTAAGGTGTCCATGTGTCACCCGTCTATGTTGTTGTGACGTGTGGTGTCCATGTGTCACCCGTCTATCTTATTGTTACGTGAGGTGTCCATGTGTCGACCGTCTATCTTGTTGTGACGTGTGGTGTCCATTTGTCACCGTCTATGTTGTTATGACTTGTGGTATCATTGTGTCACCGGTCTATCGTGTTGTTACGTGTGGTGTCCATGTGTCACCGTATATTTTGTTGTTTCGTGAGGTGTCCATGTGTCACCCGTCTCTCTTGTTGTTACGTGAGGTGTTCATGTGTCACCCGTCTATCTTGTTGTTACGTGTGGTGTCCATGTTTGGACCGCCTATGTTGTTGTGACGTGGGGTATCAATGTGTCACCGGTCTATCGTGGTGGTACGTGTGGTATCAATGTGTCGACCGTCTATGTTGTTGTTACGTCTGGTATCAATGTGTCGCCCGTCTATCTTGTTGTTACGTGAAGAGTCAATGTGTCGACCGTCTATCTTTTTGTTACGTGTGGTGTCCATGTGTCTCCGTATATTTTGTTGTTTCGTGAGGTGTCCATGTGCCACCCGTCTCTCTTGTTGTTACGTGAGGTGTTCATGTGTCACACGTCTATCTTGTTGTTACGTGTGTTATCTATGTGTGACCGCCTATCTTGTTGTTACGTGAGGTGTCCCTGTGTCACCCGTCTATCTTGTTTTTACGTGTGGTGGCCATGTGTCACTGTCTATCTTGTTGTTACGTGAGGTGGCCATTCCATGTGTCACGGTCTATCTTGTTGTTACGTGAGTTGTCCATGTGTCGACCGTCTATGTTGTTGTTACGTGTGGTGTCCATGTTTCTACCGTGTATGTTGTTGTGACGTGTGGTGCCCATAGGTCGATCATCTATCTTGTTTTTACATGTGTTGTCCATGCGTCACCCGTGTATGTTGTTGTTACGTGTGATGTCCATGTGTCGACCGTCTATGTTGTTGTGACGTGAGGGGTCCATGTGTCACTGTCTATCGTGTTGTTACGTGTTGTTTCGTGAGGTGTCCATGTGCCACCCGTCTCTCTTGTTGTTACGTGAGGTGTTCATGTGTCCCCCGTCTATCTTGTTGTTACGTGAAGAGTCAATGTGTCGACCGTCTATCTTGTTGTTACGTGTAGTGTCCATGTGTCACCCGTCTCTCTTGTTGTTCCGTGAGGTGTTCATGTGTCACCCGTCTATCTTATTGTTACGTGAGGTGTCCATGTGTCATTGTCTATCGTGTTGTTACGTGTGGTGTCCATGTTTGGACCGCCTATGTTGTTGTGACGTGTGGGGTCAATGTGTCACCGGTCTATCGTGGTGGTACGTGTGGTATCAATGTGTCGCCGGTCTATCGTGTTGTTACGGGTGGTGTCCATGTTTCGACCGGCTATGTTGTTGTGACGTGTGGTGCCCATAGGTCGATCATCTATCTTGTTTTTACATGTGTTGTCCATGCGTCACCCGTGTATGTTGTTGTTACGTGTGATGTCCATGTGTCGCCCGTCTATCTTGTTATTACGTGTGGTGTCCATGTTTGGACCGCCTATGTTGTTGTGACGTGGGGTATCAATGTGTCACCGGTCTATCGTGGTGGTACGTGTGGTATCAATGTGTCACCGGGCTATCGTGTTGTTACGTGTGGGGTCCATGTTTCGACCGTCTATGTTGTTGTGACGTGAGGTGTCCATGTGTCATTGTCTATCGTGTTGTTACGTGTGGAATCAATGTGTCGACCGTCTATGTTGTTGTTACGTGTGGTGTCCATGTTTCGACCGTCTATGTTGTTGTGACGTGAGGTGTCCATGTGTCGCCCCTCTATATTGTTGTTACGTGTTGTGTCCATGTGTCGACCGTCTAACTTGTTGTGACGTGTGGTGTCAATGTGTCACCGGTCTATCGTTTTGTTACGTGTGGTATCAATGTTTCGACCGTCTATGTTGTTGTGACGGGTGGTATCAATGTGTCACCGGGCTATCGTGTTGTTACGTGTGGTGTCAATGTGTCACTGCCTATCTTGTTGTTACGTGTGGTATCCATGTGTCATTTGTCTATCTTGTTGTTACGTGTGGTGTCAATGTTTCGACCGTCTATGTTGTTGTGACGTGAGGTGTCCATGTGTCTATCTTGTTGTTACGTGAGTTGTCCCATGTGTCACCCGTCTATCTTATTGTTACGTGAGGTGTCCATGTGTCGCCCCTCTATATTGTTGTTACGTGTGGGGTCCATGTTTCGACCGTCTATTTTGTTGTGACGTGTAGTGTCCATGTGTCACCCGTCTATGTTGTTGTGACGTGTTGTTTCCATAGGTCGATCATCTATCTTGTTTTTACATGTGTTTTCCATGCGTCACCCGGCTATGTTGTTGTGACGTGTGGTGTCAATGTGTCACTGCCTATCTTGTTGTTACGTGGGGGATCCATGTGTCATTTGTCTATCTTGTTGTTACGTTTGGTGTCCATGTGTCAACCGTCTATCTTGTTGTGACGTGAGGTGTCCATGTGTCTTTGTCTATCGTGTTGTTACGTGTGGGGTCCATGTTTCACCGTCTATCTTGTTGTTAGGTTGTCCATGTGTCGGCCGTCTATCTTGTTACGTGAGGTTTCCAGTGGTCGACCGTCTATCTTGTTGTGACGTGAGGTGTCCATGTGTCTACCGTCTATCTTGTTACGTGAGGTTTCCAGTGGTCGACCGTCTATCTTGTTGTGACGTGTGGTGTCAATGTGTCACCGGTCTATCGTTTTGTTACGTGTGGTATCAATGTTTCGACCGTCTATGTTGTTGTGACGTGTGATATCAATGTGTCACCGGTCTATCGTTTTGTTACGTGTGGTATCAATGTTTCGACCGTCTATGTTGTTGTGACGGGTGGTATCAATGTGTCACCGGTGTATCGTGTTGTTACGTGTGGTATCAAAGTGTCGACCGTCTATGTTGTTGTGACGTGAGGGGTCCATGTGTCACTGTCTATCGTGTTGTTACGTGTGGGGTCCATGTGTCGACCGTCTATGTTGTTGTTACGTGTGGTGTCCATGTTTCATTGTCTATGTTGTTGTGACGTGTGGTGTCCATGTGTCGACCGTCTATCTTGTTACGTGAGGTGTCCAGTTGTCGACCGTCTATCTCTTTGTGACGTGTGGTATCAATGTGTCACCGGTCTATCGTGTTGTTACGTGTGGTGTCCATGTTTCGACCGTCTATGTTGTTGTGACGTGTGGTATCAATGTGTCACCGGTCTATCGTGTTGGTACGTGTGGTATCAATGTGTCGACCGTCTATGTTGTTGTGACGTGAGGTGTCCATGTGTCACTGTCTATCGTGTTGTTACGTGTGGTATCAATGTGTCGACCGTCTATATTGTTGTTACGTGAGGTGTCCATGTGTCACTGTCTATCTTGCTGTGACGTGTGGTTTCCATGTGTCACCCGTCTATTTTGTTGTGACGTGTGGTGTCCATGTGTCACCCGTCTATGTTGTTGTTACGTGTGGTGTCCATGTGTCACTAGTCTATCTTGTTGTGACGTGTCGTGTCGATGTGTCACCCGTCCATCTTGTGACGTGTGGTGTCGATGTGTCGACCGGCTACCTAGTTTTTACGTGTGGTGTCCATACCCTAAAACCTCTTGTAGAAATCATCCTCACCCCGTTAGGGACATACTTTCCCCCTTGTAGTAATCATCCTTAACCCGTTAGTGACACACCCTCACACCCTTTTAGAAATCATCCTCGCCCCGTTAGTGACACACCCTCACACCCTTTTAGAAATCATCCTCACCCCTTCAGTGACACACCCTCCCACCCTTTTAGAAATCATCCCGTTAGTGACACAACTTCCCACCCCCCCACCCCCCTTGTAGAAATCATCCTTACCCCGTTAGTGACACACCCTCACACCATTGTAGAAATCATCCACATCCCGTTAGTGACACACCCTCACACCCTTGTAGAAAGTATCCTCATCCCGTTAGTGACACACCCTACACCATTTGGTGAGCCGTTCCTTGCACCATTAGAGACACTTCTCCCACCGTGGTGTCTATGGTGCTATCAATAATATTTATGAAAAGACAATCATAGAATGACGACCAGAGTGTTAAACATAAACAAAAACAAGTATACTATGACGTGTTGTATTATATATATAAATTGTGATGAAGGAATGCTTCATATCAGAAATACAAAATTGATACATGTCAAATAAAATAAAATTGTTCATTTTATGAAAGGTTAACACCGGTAACAAGGTAAAGAGAAAACTGTTAACTTAACACTATACTTGTGAAGCTACAATAAATGATCACAAGTACTATCAAACATCGCTATGTCAAAGTCGTTCCAAGCAAACATCCAAAAAAAGTGTTGTCCCTGGTAAAAGTCCACCAAAGTTTTATATACAACATCAGGTAAATGTTATCGTTAACCAACAAAGTTCAACTGTTTGATATATTATTAATATTATATATTATATATTAAAAAATTGCACCGGTAAACAAATATTGCTGCCAGACGATAATCGTAAGTAAAGGAGAAGATCACGTGGTGGGATGGGGCGCTGTGCACGAGGCGTTGTTTTCCTCGTCTGAGTTGTCGATGCAGTCGGGGAAACCGTCGTTGATATCCTCACATGGAATACACTTGGTATCATCACACTTGTAGTATGTATCGGGACATACACGGTTTACTGTCAATACAAAACATACGTCACACTTGTAGTATGTATCGGGATATACACGGTTTACTGTTAATACAAAACATACGTCACACTTGTAGTATGTATCGGGATATACACGGTTTACTGTTAATACAAAACATACGTCACACTTGTAGTATGTATCGGGACATACACGGTTTACTGTTAATACAAAACATACGTCACACTTGTAGTATGTATCGGGATATACACGGTTTACTGTTAATACAAAACATACGTCACACTTGTAGTATGTATCGGGATATACACGGTTTACTGTTAATACAAAACATACGTCACACTTGTAGTATGTATCGGGACATACACGGTTTACTGTTAATACAAAACATACGTCACACTTGTAGTATGTATCGGGATATACACGGTTTACTGTCAATACAAAACATACGTCACACTTGTAGTATGTATCAGGATATACACGGTTTACTGTCAATACAAAACATACGTCACACTTGTAGTATGTATCAGGACATAACAATACAAAACATACGTCACACTTGTAGTATGTATTGGGACATACACAGTTAATTGTGAATACAAAACACATGTCACACTTGTTTTTTGAATACGGACTTTCACAAAACTGGATTTGACAAATTTAACAGGAATCACAGGTTTTCATGGAATTGGTCACGTTCCAGTAAGCATTCACTATGAACTTGGTAGTAGGTGTCGCATGGCAAACCAACTTATTATTTTTTCCGTTATGTATTTAACAAAATATGACGCATTGAATAAGATATCTTACATGATTTTTTTTTTAAAGAGATCTTAAACATACACGATAAACGACAAAGGGATACTGTCCCTCGATTGGCGTACTCACCACAGAGAGAGGGAAGCTCATCTTCACCATCGGAACAGTCGGGATCTCCATCACATGCCCAGCTGTTAGGAATACATCCCCCATTACAGGCAAAGTCGCTTCGGTCACATGTGACAGAGCGCCGCATTACTGTAAACCAAAAAAGCAATATAAAATACAGGAAAACTCGCTCCGGTCACATGACACAGAGCGCCGCATTACTGTTAACCAAAAAAGCAATAATAAAATACAGGAAAACTCGCTCCGGTCACATGTGACAGAGCGCCGCATTACTGTAAACCAAAAAAGCAATACTAAAATACAGGAAAACTCGCTCCAGTCACATGCGACAGAGCGCTGCATTACTGTAAACCAAAAAAGCAATAATAAAATACAAGAAACTCGCTCCGGTCACATGCGACAGAGCGCCGCATTACTGTAAACCAAAAAAGCAATAATAAAATACAGGAAAACTCGCTCCGGTCACATGTGACAGAGCGCCGCATTACTGTAAACCAAAAAAGCAATAATAAAATACAGGAAAACTCGCTCCGGTCACATGTGACAGAGCGCCGCATTACTGTAAACCAAAAAAGCAATAATAAAATACAGGAAAACTCGCTCCGGTCACATGTGACAGAGCGCCGCATTACTGTAAACCAAAAAAGCAATAATAAAATACAGCAAATTACTGACCAAATATCATTATCCAAGGCCTCTTGGATATTCAGAAGAAGTTGTTAAAATGTTTTAAACATATTTGATCCCTGTGACCTTGAATATAAGTAAAGGTCATTTGTTTGAACAAACTTGGTAGCCCTTTATCCCAGGATGTTACTGACCAAATATCCTTAACGTAGGCTTCTTGGTTATTCAGAAGAAGGTGTTTATAGGTTTTAAACATATTTGACCCCCGTGACCTTGAATTTAAGTCAAGGTCATTCATTTGAACAAACTTTGTAGTGCTCTATTACAGCATGCTACTGGTCAAATAGTATCATCATAGGCCTCTTGGTTATTGAGAAGAAGTTGTTTAAAGGGTTTTAACATATTTGACCCATGTGACCTTGAATATAAGTTAAGGTCATTTATGTCAGCATGTTACTAGTCAGATAGCATCATCCTAGGACTCTTGGTTATTGAGAAGAAGTTGTTTAAAGGTTTTAAACATATTTGACCCCTGTGACCTTGAATATAAGTAAAGGTCATTCATTTGAACAAACTTTGTAGCCCTCTATTACAGCATGCTACTGGCCAAATATCATTATCCTAGGCTTCTTGATGATTCAGGAGATGTTGTTTAAAGGTTTTAATCATATTTGACACCTGTGACCTTGAATATAAGGCAAGTTCATTCATTTGAACAAAACTTAGTAGCCCTCTATTGCAGCATGTTACTGGCCAAAGAGCATTATCCTAGGCCTCCAAGTTATTCAGAAGTAGTTGTTTAAAGATTTTTTTAAGACAATTGACCCCTGTGACCTTGAAAATGGGTGAAGGTCATATATTTGAACAAACTTGGTACCCCTTCATCCCAGCAAGCTACTGGTCATATATCATCACCATGGGAATTTTGGTTATTGAAAAGAAGTCGTTTAAAGTAAAATATTGACGCCGGACGACGGACGGACGACGGACGCCGCACCACGGCATAAGCTCACTTGGCACTTCGTGCCAGGTGAGCTAAAAATCAATCACATATTATAGGAAAAATCAGTCGAGTCACAAATGACAGAGTGCCGCATTACTGTAAAACAAAAAAGCAATCCTAAAATACAGGGAAACTCGCTCCGGTCACGTGTGACAGAGCGCCCTAGCACCGTTAAACAATCACAGCGCTGACCGCGGGCACGTGGAATGCCCATCGTCTAGGCGGGGATTTCTACGTCACACCGACAATCTGCCGAATTGAGCAGGCCAATTTTTTCTTCTTTTTTCTAGTTAACTCGTTCTCGCAACGCGTTTTTATTTTAAGTGTCTACATTTACATTTCAGCGATAGACTTTCATTAATACTCTGCAATTATCCATGGTGCTTGTAATTCAGTTAATGCATTAAAAGAATACTCAATATATCAGAAATATATCATGACTTTAAGCAAATTATAAGATGGATTGTAAGTGTACAAGGTAAATTTTGTGAAGATGATGTTTCAGATTGAAACATTGATTCGGTTTAAATAGACATACCTCTCTTGATTTGCGCCGTCTGACATAAGCAAAGAAATGTTAGCCCCGCCATCAACACTAAACTAAGTGATCTGCAGTGTATCCCGGTCATCGTGAGCTGGTTCGGTCTGACTATTGGCAAGGACGCGGTTCCGGGGCTGTTTTACCCTTTCCAACGGGGGGAGGGGTTTGCTATTGGAGGAATTTATCAGACCACTTCAGGAAGTGTGGCATGATCCCATTCCTCCTGTAATATGTGCATGCTCGTACGATCGGAGGTGTGTCGTACCTCCTGCTGGTGTGATTGGTTGAGACTCTCATCCGCCTGATTTGATTGGTCAGTCAGATGAGCAGATGGCTGTTACACTAACCGAGTGATGATGTGGTTGATTTGATTCGCGTCATTGTAATTCATCGGGGTCGTCGACATTTTAGCCATATCAACATTTGTTTTTCGATATACGTCAGACCAAACCAAAACACATAGCCACGCATGAGTACCAATCCTCATCGTACCAGGGCTTCTGTAATAAACGGCACCTTGTTCTCAGGCTCCACAGAGACCTATATATATATATATATATACTGAGGAGAGTGAGCATGGCTTCTGTGTAAGTGATATGCTGTTCAAAATTTTGAAGTGTCTTTTTATGTTTGTAAGTTTGTTGTTTTGTTTTTTGCCTTCAAGTTACATTATAACTAAAAATGAGCAATACAATATTGAATTGAATATTACGATATATGGACATCAGTATATACCCAAATACACTATGGACATCAGTATATACCCCCGTACACTATGGACATCAGTATATACCCCCAAACACTATGGACATCAGTATATACACCCGTACATTATGGACATCAGTATATACCCCCAAACACTATGGACATCAGTATATACCCCCGAACACTATGGACATCAGTATATACCCCCATACACTATGGACATGAGTATAACCCCTGTACACTATGGATATCAGTATATACCCC